CAATTATCACCCCCATCATTCTTTTACTTATGGAATTTTACAAAATAAAATGTAAGATTTTAATTTTGTCAAATAATCTAGCTTTTTCTTTATCTTTCTGGATTCCATCTTGGTGAGGAAGGTCTTCCCCCATTCTAAGATTATACATGGTCCTCTATTTTCCTGTGATAATTTGTTTTTATATGAAAATCTTTAATACATCTGATTCTGAGAAACTTTTACCATTGTCAAGCAATAAAAAAAGACATTTGTAATGTCCATGTCATTACACAAACCATAAAATCCTGGCTTAAGATGTTCGCATTTTTCTGACCCAGCTTTCTACTCCTAAACACAGATCCAAGAGAAATCAAAGCATATGTCCCCCAAAAGACTTGTACACAAATGATCACAGAATCCTTACGCGGCCAGCCGAAGCTGGAAATGCTCTGTGAGTCCACCGGCAAGCGAATGGTTGAACAAGCTGGTACCTCCCACAGTGCGTATCGCTTAGTAACAAGGAAGAAGGAATCAGTGATACATGAGGAATCACGACAAGACTGAGTGGGGTCGAGAAGCCAGAGACAAAGGAGAGCAAAGTGCGTGATTCCATTTACAGGAAATCCCATTATAGGTCGAATCAATCCCTGGTGACAGAGCAGGGCAGAGGTCATGTGGCGGGGCGCTCGGAAGGTTCTGGGGCGACCGGACCGGAGTGATGCTCAGGCCAAGCTCACACATGTATCAGAATTCACCAAGCTGTGAGAACTCTGTCTGCAAATTGTACCTCAATAAAGTTGAGTTTTAAAAATGCTGTCTTAGGAGAGTAGACAGTCATACGGGAGACATTCTGCAGTGTATTTCCCAGCTCTTCTTTCATGCATGTTTACATAGATGCAAATACCAAATATTATTCGCTGCTTAAGGGTAAACATAAGGGTGATTTTCTTCCTGTGCTTTTCTATATTATATTAATCAATATGAATTGCTTTTGTAAGCAGAAAACAAGTTGTTTTAAGTCTCTATGGCTTGCCTATGCCTTGGTGGGCACTGTGGAGGGAGTGTCGGAGACACTCTTTATGAATGCAGCAGTGACCTGGCCAAGGAGCTCACCAGCGGCCTGGGCACCCCGAATGGGGTGGTGGGCAGAAGGGGAGAGTTCTTCAAGGGCTGGGCCTGGGCAGAGCAGCCCACCCCAGTGCCTGGGCCACAGACACACACACCACCCCACAGACACACACACAGACACCCACACCCACAGACATACACACACACACACACACACACAGGCATACACACACACACAGATACATACACACACCCACACACCCACAGACATACACACACACACACAGGCATAGACACACACACACACACACACCCCACACCCCCACAGACACCCACAGACACACATACCCACAGACACACCCACACACACACACATACCCCACACCCCCACAGACACCCACAGACATACACACACACACAGGCATACACACCCACACAGATACACACACACCCACACACACAGACATACACCCCCCCACACACACAAAGATACACACCCCCACAGACACCCACAGACACACACACACACACACACACACACTCAGAGTCCATCTAAGTGTGTTTTGCTGAGGCCCAGGCAGTTGGGTCTAACCCAGACACAGTTTCAGTCTGTTTCAAGTCCAGCTAGGGCGAGCCAATCGGGGAAGCCTGTCTGGTTTCCTGTTTTCGGTCGGCCCCACTTCCGACCCGACTGGCAGCTGGGAGCTGGCCTTCACTGCTTCCTTAGCTGCAGCCCCTCTGAGTTTGCTGCCCTGTCTCCGCTCCCAAACACTGAGCCATGTTCCCAGCATGTGACCCACAGGGAAAAGAGCCTGTGTCTGCTTTAAAAGCCTTTTGTGCATCATGTGCCTGTAAACAGTCAATTCACGGCTTCCCGTTTTCATGTCTGAGAATAGGAGTGATGTTGAGAAGCTGAGAGGGTGGCTGAAATAACCTCAGTGGGCACACCTGGCCAGGGCACGTGGTGGCCCCCACTTGGCCCTCTTCTCCGTTCTTCTAAGGGGTGCTCGATTCACTCCTTGCCCCGTCTGCCCCCACGCCCCGAGCCAGGGGGCAGTCCTCCAGGGCCTGGTTTGCACCATCCCCCACCCCCGTCTCTTCCATGGGTGAACTCTCCACAGTTCATCCAGGTATGTCTGGACACACCTGGGCACTGCCATCTGCTACTTGAAGTAAATGTCCCTCGACTAGTTCACATCTGCCTACTGACCCTCTGACCTTGGGCCTGAAATAATTTACCACAGGCCTAATTCCTTTTGGGGATATGCAGTTATGAAGAAAATGCACAGAGCTGGTGCCACTGTGTTTCTGCACTGTGTGGGGGAGCACAGGGCCAAGAACAGGCCTCGGACGCCCTGGCCAGGGCGCCGCAGCCCCGGCCTCTCCAGGGAGGGAGCCAATCTCACAGCATGCCTTCGGGAGCCTCATTCCAGTGAGGAGGCATGCAGCTGTGGAAGTGGGCAGCCAGCAAAAGCTAGGAGACCAAAGTGGACACTGTCCCCACACAAATCCAGAATCCGTGACTGCAAACCATGACAGCAGCCGTAGGAGGACGCCGACGCTGAAAGCAGGCAGTGAGTGACATCCCAAATGGGTGGGGTCTGTCCGGAGTCCAGCAGCCTCAGGCCTGAGGGAAGCCACGCTGCCTGGTGCTAACGAGCACAGCAGCTGGCATTGGACGCACCAACCTCCTGACCCAAACTCCGGCTGGACCAGTTAATTAAACTCTATAGCTCAGTCTCTTCATTTGCAAAATACAGGCATCCCTGTCCTGCGGAATCCATCATGCTTGATACGGCACAGAGCAGAAGCCCGGGGACCTGCACAAAACCCATCAAACGGTGGTGCTGCAGCCTTTAGCCAAGAGATTGATGGCACAGCTCGAAGCCCTCGGGGCTGGGTCAGGCGTGCCAGGAGCCCTCAGGTTTATCTGTGGCAGGGCACTGCTCCCCAAAGGGACATCAGAGTAACTCTCCGACACCCAGCCATAGATAAGCTCTCTGCAGACAGTGCCTCTGGTGACAAAACTGGAAACCGAGTGCTGGCCATAGGTCAAGGCCACTCTTAACCTCAGCCCACCAAATGGTCCAGCGCTGCCCAAACCCACCTCTCACCTGCAGAGCCTCACAACCTTAGCATCAGAAGCCCCTGCAGCACCCCTAGACACTCCGAGGCATCTAAATGGCATCCCAAACTGCCCATCAGAGAATCCTAACCTGTGCCACCCCTACCTCTACCCCCGTGGTGACTCAGTGGACCACCAACCTGGTCCATGCCCCTTGCCCACTCAATTCCATCCATGCAGACCAGCTCTGCTCACCCTTGCTCCCACCTGGACCGCACTGCTTGTCCCTCCTCTGTCCACTCTGGCAGCAGCCACACCCAGGGGTCCTTTGAGAATGTGAAGCCAGGTAAAGGCCTCCAGGGGCCCCCCTGACACTCAGGAAAAGGCCGAGTCCTACCGCAGCCTTTGGAGGCACCGGTTTCCCCTCCCCCACCTCCCTCGGTCCTGCCACACCCATGCCAGCCTCCTGGCAGGTCTCAGGGCCTTCGTACTTACTATTCTTGCTGCCTGGACCATCTCTCCCCCATGTGCCCAGGGCCCTGGTCAAATGTGCCAAGTAAGTGTGGGCTGCTGGGACCACGTCCCCCAGACCCACACCTCAGGGCCCCTCTCCACAGACATACACGCCCCCCACCCCGTGTGCCCCCCTCCGACTCCTCTATGAAAAATGCTCCATTCGGCAAGGATTTTGACATAGGTACCAAGCCAAGGCTGGGATGCCGAGGTACCCTACCCAACAGGCCTTCAAGAACGACTCGGTGAGACAAATTAATGAAACGGACACACTGGCACTCCCCAGCCGCTTCCTCTGCCTCGGCGACCCCCCCCAACCCCTCCACCGAGTCTCACGGTGCAAACAGGGCCCCAGTAATCCTCCTCCTCTTCCCAGGGTCAAATGGCTTCCCCTTGATAAGCTGCTGCCCATCCCTCTGTCACCAGGCAGCTCTGCCACAGAGCCCCTGGCCCTTTCCACCAGGGCTGGGTGTGTCCTTTCCGTTTTTATCTAAATCACACTTCTCCTAACCGAGGGAGCCTTTGGAGGTCATGTGTCCAGCCTGTTGCACCAAAATCACCCCCCACCCTCGCCCCCAGGGAACACATCCGAACAGAAGATCGGAGCCCCTTTTTCCACCTTACACCAGAAATTCCTCGCCCTGCAAGGGTGCCTCGGTTTTGACCCCCGTAAAGAAAAGCATCTGTCCCTGGGTTAAACTGAAACGGTGCGCGGGGCGTCGGCACGCTTGGGGATCCATCCTAACCGGTCTCGTCCAGATGGTGCCCTTCAGACGCACGCGGGCGCGTCCGCCGCTGCAGCGGGGTCCCGGGGGCGCCTCCCCGCCCGCAGACGGGCCCTGCGCGGCCCGGCCCCCGATCCTCCCCTCCGGGGCCGCCCGGCCCGCTCTAGGTCCCCCCAGACAGCGCCGAGACCCCGGCCCGGCCTCCGCCTCGGAGCGGCCAGGACCCCCGCCCCGCCCCTCGCCCTGCCCGGCGCGCAGCAGGGCGCTGGTCACCCCGGTCGAGCCCGCGGGCGGCCGACGACACTCACCGGCGCCGGGGGTGTCGGCTCCAGGCCCCGGGCTCCGCCACCAGCGCAGCAGCGCCCGCGCGGGGTCCAGGCTCACGGCGCAGCGCTGCCGCTTCACCCACAGCACCGAGCGCAGCGGCTCCGCCGCCCCCATCGCGCCCGGCACCCGCCGGCGCCGCCTGGTCGGCCGGGCGGGGGCGCCGAGCGGGGGCGCGCGGACGCCGGGGGGCGCGGGACCGTTAGCGGCCCCTGGAGCCCGGCCGGGCGGCGGCGGCGGCGCGGGGCGGGGGCGCTGCGTCACCCCGTACGCAGAGCGGCCGCGGCGGGGGAGGGGCCGCGGGGACCGAGGAGGGGGCGGGGAGGGGCCCGGCGGCCGGGGAGGGCTGGCCGGGTGGGGGAGCGCGGGCCGCCGAGGAGGCGGCTTCCCTCTGCGGCCGGTCGGAGGCTCCGGGGCGCAGCCGCCGCGCGTGGAGCTCGGGAGCGCCTCGCGGACGGGTCGTAATGATAGGCTGGAACCGGGTGGCCGAATTCTCCAGGGGCGCCGAAATGCTACCCGGGCGGGCGTGCGGGGGCGGCGGGCGCCGCGGGCCTCGGGAGGCCCTGGCTTACGGGGTGGGCGCGGGAGCAACCATTCCGGTCCGGACGCAGCACCCATGGGCGGCGAGGTTTTGGAATCAGGTCGCCTCTTGGTCCTCTGTCCCCTGCAGAGATGGGCTGGCCCTGCCCTCCTCTCCAAAATAGGCTTGAAGGCCTGGGCAGGCGCCCACTGGAGGGGTGCACCCTGTTGGGCCCCCGCACCATCTCCTCTGCTTATGGGCCCATCCTCTCCTCAGGACCACCTGGGACAGCAGGCGCTCCGCCTCCCCACCTTCCCAATCGGGTCAGTTTCAGGCACAGGGAATTCAGCAGTAAAGGATGGAGCCTGCATTCCAACCAGGCTGTCTGGGTCTCAGGGTACTGCTGTGCATGAGTACCGAGGCTGAGGAGAGGTGCCCCTGAGGAGGCATGCTCAGAGGCCTGCCAGCGTCCAGCCATCTTTACTGCCCACTAGAGTGTGTGTCCTGGCCTCGGGCAGGGGCTGCAGAGAGCGGCCAGGGGACCCGAAGCTCCTGCAGCCCCTGCCAGGTGCTCCTAGGTGGACTAGGAGGAGAGATTGCTGGAAATGAGCTGCCCTGGGAACCACCAGAGGGAAGGGTGGCAGGCAGGCCAGCTGCCAACCACCTGCAGGCTGGCAGGCAGGGGCTGCTTGCTGGAGGAGGAGCCTGGCAGGAAGCTGGGGAAACAGACAGCTGACCCCTCCCCTCCTGTGCAGCCCCAAGGAAAGGGAGCTGCTGTTCTGGGGACTTTGCAGAGAGACATCACCCCAGTGTCCCCAGATTCTCTTCTGTCAATGGGCCCAGTCCAGCCCTCCCTTCTCCACAGGGGTCCTAACCCGACCACCCAGCTAAATGGACCAGGGCACCCACCCCGACAGGGCTGCAGCCTGCCCTCAGAGCATGCCCACCCGCCTCAGCTCTGTGAGGACACAGACATGTCTGTCCTTGAAGCCCCAGTGCTGAAAAGCGTCCTGGCAAGTAGTAAGCACCCTAGGTATTTGTCACATGAGCGCACCTGTCCTAGATTTATCACTGAGGAAGCTGTAGCTCATGGAAATTGAGTAACTTGCCTGAAGGCACAGGGCCCTGGAATGACGGAGGTCTGACTCCAGGTGCCCAAGAGAGCAGCCTGCTGCTGCTCCGCTCTCCCCACCCGGCCCTGTTTCTCTTTGGCTCCTCCGCAGGAGCCTTCCCTTTGGGTGGAGGGCGTGCCACAGCCTAGCTGCCTGTGCCTGGCACTGGGCAGCCACATGTACAAGCCTTATCCTGCCAGCTGCCTGTGATTCACTCCTCACTGGGAGCCCAGCCCTTATGCCAGAGTCGGGAGAGGGAGGCCAGGCAGAAGGGGTGTGTGTGTCCTCAACCCCTCCCTTAAGCAAGTCAAATCTGATAGCCCTTCGTGTGGGTGGATGGCCCAAGGCCCGCCTGCCTGCCTGCCTCCCACGGTTGCTCTCAGCTGGGGAAATACGGATATGAAACTTCTCTGGGAACCTTGTGCCAGCAGTAGGGCTGGGGTGGGGGTGGGGGGTCCCCCTGTGTGGCCACAGAGCTGGAGGACCAGGACCAGGCGCTCAGAACCAGCCTCTTCCCGTGGCCTCCCTGGGCTGGGCTCCTTCTGCCCTTCCTGGGTTATTCATTTAAAGATCCTTTAATGGCCACACACCAGCTTGTAAAAGCCTATAGCTCAGACTGCTCCCCGCCCTCAAGGGGCCCTTCCAGAGCAGCAGCAAAATGCAGGTGAGGCCCTGGAGGTGGGGGAGGGGGCTGGGGGGAAACCCCACCTTCTTCACTTGGGAGACTCCAAGTCCAGGCCAGGTCCTTGGGCTCTCAGTGGCTGTTATGGGCTAATTTTGTCCCTCAAAAATTCACATGTTGAAGCCCTCAAGCCTCAGGGCCTCAGACTGTGACTGTACTTGGAGCCCAGGCCTTCCAGAAGGTGATTAAGATGAAATGAGGTCATGTGGATGGGCCCTAACCCAGTGTAACTGGTGTCCTTCTAGGAAACTTGGACACACCAGAGAGCAGGGGCACTCAGCAAGAGGGCCACCTCGGAGGAGACCTACCTGCCGACACCTTGACCTTGGGCTTCGAGCCTCTGTGAACCAGAAGGGTGAGGAAATACGTTTCTGTTGTTTAAGCCGCCCATGGTACTTTGCAGCTCTAGCAAACTACCTACCATGGCCTTCCACCTGGGGAGCCTGAGGGTTCTGGGCTTGGCTGGGGTGGGGCCTGGAACATGCAGGACCCCATGCTTACACCCTGGGGGGAAGGGAATGACGTGAAGGTCAAGTTGTCATAAGATGCTTTTCCTGCCGCTGAGCTGGATGGGAAGAGGGTTGCACAGGGGGTCAGGCCCTACCTGAGGCCGTGAGCCCGTGGCTCTTGAGTACAGCCCTGGGGGCATGAAAGGACAGAGGCAGCTTCACCCCTGGGGCAGCTGCCAGGCCCCCGCTGTGTGCTGGGTCCCCACGAGGCCACCCGAGAGCTGGCTGTGAAGACCATGGGCAAGGCAGCCAACACAAACTTCAGAAGGACTAAGCGGCCTGCCCCTTTCCACTCAGGAAGCGCCCAGAATCCCCAGATGGGCTCCCGTGACCTCACTCACCACTGCCCTGGCGGGCACATCTTTCCCATGCTGGGCCCTGGCCAAACCCCCCTCCCACATGTCTGCCTGGGAAGTCGGCCTCCCCTTCCCCCACGCCCCCTGCATTCACTCCCCGAGGCCCCAGACAGCTCACTCCGTGAAGCTTCCACCCAGCTGCCCAGTGCCTGGCCCCCCTTCAGCACTGCACAGCGATGGGGTCCCAGCCTGTTGCTCGCCTGGTATGTGCACCTCTGGGCCCAACCCTCCACAGGGTCTGGATGTACCCTGGCTGCCAGCTAGGCTGGAGGGCATGGGCTCAGCCCAGCAGCCTGGAGTCCCACTCTCAGGCCAGCACTGCCACCTGCCCTCTGTCTGGTGCCCAGTCTGCAGGCTTGGGCTGCAGCCCAGCTCTGGCCAGCTTGTCTAGGCTGGACATCCTGCCAAGGAGTGGCCCACACCCACTACCCTGTGCTGTGCCTACCCAGGTTCCCTCCCACATAGGCTACCTGGCCCCTGAGGATCTGTCTAGGCCCACAGCATGGCCACCCAGTACCCAAGAGCCTCCAGCCCACTGGGTCATCCATGCCTGAGACCTGCTGGCCCCTCTTACCCACAGAGCCCTGGTCACTGACAGGGACCCTTCTAGCACCATCCCCTCCACGGCCTCTGCCCTACTTTCCCCATGTCCTGGAAGCCCCTGGCCTTGTTTACTGTGTCCTTGCCTGCTTATCTCCCCAGGCTTCCTCCCTATGAAGTCAGCCGCATGACTTAACCTCAGAGGACACCTGCTCCAGCTGCTGCCTAGCTGCCAGGATTGCTGCCCTCTGCCCTCCGCCCTTTGCCCTGCACCCAGGAGGAGGAGCTTTCCATTTGCCACTTCACCTGTTAAGGCCGACTGCCCAGAAGAACTGTCTTGGGCCCATAGAGATAATTTACGCAATGCTCATCCATACGTTGCACACATGACCCAGATAATAACTGCTGGAAATGGAGTTATTTACCCATTTTACAGATGGAAAGACTGAGACTCAAAAAACTGACCTGACCTGCTGAAGTTACACGGAAAGGTAATTAGACGGGTGGGTGCCCCAGTGTCACACTGGTGTGGGGTCTGAAATGTGGGAACAGAAGGTCCACACCAGCACAAACCATGTCCACAGAGGACACGGCCCTGGGTACTCAGGTGGGGCCAATCTGTTCTACCCTGGAGGGAACACAGGACTGTCTTGCCTGACCTGCTCTTGCAAGAAGGTAGAGCTGCCCCCACCCAGCCTCAGCTCCAGAGGCCAGACCTGCCCACCTGGAAAAGCCCAGTCCTGGGCTGGAATGGAGGGCGGACCAAGGGGAGTGGTGGCCAGAGGGTGGATCTGAGCTGGAAGGGCCAGTGATTTGTGGCTAGCTGAAAATAATACCAAAGGTGGCCAGGATGGAGGCGGCTCACACACCTGGGGGCGGTGGAGAGTGCCACAACCAGGGACAGGAGGGCCCAGAGGCCAGGCTGGTTCTCGACCCTGTGGGCTTCCCAGGCCTGTCAGGGTGATGGCCTCGGTTGGGCCCCAACAGGCCTCCTCTCACTGTGCTAGCACCCCCTTATTTTCATCCTCAAGGTGATACTACTCTGCAGATGAGGAAATAGTCCCAGTGAGGTTAGGGACCCAGGTCAGGGTTGTCCAGGGACCACGGTGGAACTGGAAAGGAAGCAGGGCTGGGGAGCTCTGAGCCAGCCATGCACCACCAGGCCACCCTGTCACACATTCCGGGCCTCCTCCCCCGACAGGGAGTGGGCTCCTCGGCCCTGAGAGCAGGACAGCCAGCTGTCCCTGGGGGCTGTCGTTGCCTCAGCAGCAGACTCTTCTGGGGAAAAGGCCAGCCCCTGCTGGGCGGACGCAGGGGCTGTCCAGGGTGGGAGGGAGACACCCCTCTCCATCCCTGCCGCTGAAGGATAGCTGGACAGCTGGGTGGGTCCAGATGTAAAGGAGGGGTGCGCGGCCCACAGTGCTGGCGGGTAGGGGTGCGGGAAGGGCCCTACCCAAGTCCTTTGTCCTGTGAGCCTGCCTCCCCCAGGTCTCTGGTGGAATGTCCACTTCTGGCTGATGCGAGGTGGCCTTGACTCCTCTGGGAGGGGGAGAGGGGACGGGGAGCTGCTGTGGTATCCAGGCTTGTGGGAGGCTCCCACTGGTGGCATCTGCAGCCAAGCACGAACCCGGCTGAGAGGAATCTGCACACCATAGTCCTGTGGAGCGGGAGGCTGGGATTGGAAAATACCCTACCTCGTGCCCAGGCTGCTGGGGACAGAGCTGAGGTGACTACTACACAGGGAAGCTGTAAACTGATTTTCAGACCGATAAGGGAGGCTGGACTGCTTTACTCGGCATGTTTATTTGCCTTTTTATGTTTGAGGTCTATACAAAACGTAGAGAGGAAATAGCAAAGGCCAGGAGCCCAGCGATCTGATTCAACCAGGGGGAGGGGAGGTGGGCACTGGTAACTTCCATTAACCTGGGGTGGGTGGCAGGTGGGTCTGGGGACAGGAGGGCAGGGATTGGGCTGCCTTTGGAGCCCTGTAACCCAAGTGAAAGGGGAAAACCTGCTTCAAACAAACCCATGCAAATGCAAATCACAGGTTCTGGGAAAGTAGGTTTTAAGGGGCAAAAACTAACACCGTCTGCTCAACCTAGAAATTTTGCAGCACAAAGCGTCCAGCACCGAGTCCACAAACAAAATCAAACCCCAAACAAGAAAGGAGAAAAATCCGTGGAGGCAACGTGAATCCCAAGCTGATCTTGGAGAGTGACTGAAATCAGCTGCTGTGGGGCCACCTGAGAAGCTGGTTGGCGGTGATGGGTGCCAGAGGACACTGTGGGAGAACAGGCTGCAGGGCCCACGAGGGCCATGAAGGTGCTCTGGGGAGCCACAGCCGTACACAGCTTGTGTGGCAGGGCAGGGAAAGCTCGGGGAGGTAAAAGCCCTGGCATTGGAGTTCAGTGTGACATCGTCAAATCAGGGCATCTGGATCTGCTTGCCTCTCCCCCTTTACAGATGGGAAAACTGAGGCCAGCGGGGCAGCAGCCTCTGAAGGACAGGAATGCAGCCATTCCTGCGACTCCCTCTCACTGAGCCTTGCTGTGTGCTGGGAACTGAGAGGGCAGGGCCCCAGCCCTGGCAGAGCTGGACAGGGGCTCCCACCCCAAGCCTTTCAGTGTCAATGCCCTCTGGCACCCTGCACTATGTCAGTCGGGACCCACTTCACAGCACTGTTCGGAGGAGAAGCTGCTTGTCCCCATTTTACAGATGAGGGACTTGAGGCCCAGAGGGGCAGTCTGCTCCCAGGACTGGGCCTGGAGCCCTGCTTCATCTGAGCTAAAACAGCCCCACTTTCTGTTTCTGCAAACCAGCTCCCACATCAGCAACTGGAGAGTGCCATCAGAACCTTTTTTGTTAGGGAAACATCCAAGAACTCTCCCAACCATACTGGAAGATCAACAAGGACCTCTGAAAGCCTTCCCTGAAGCTCTGACACCCAAGGGCCCCCGGAGGTGTTCACAGGGTGGGGCGGGAGGAAGCTGCCCTTGTTTGCTTGCCATCCCTGGGTGAAGGTGACACAGGACGTGGGCAAGCAACCTGGGCATAGATGCAAGTCATGCATCTCGTTTCTAGAACTCCTTGCGGGAAGCTGCCCTGGCCTAGGATCTGAGATTAAAAATCACATCTGTACTTGTTCGGAAGATCATGAAACACACCCAGGAAGGACGGGGTGTTCCAGCAGAGCTCCCGGGACGGGCTGATCCTCCTGCTTGCTCTCGCAGCCAAAGGGATCCTTGCGACATGGGAATCCAGATCGCAGCGGAACCCCCGCCCTGTGCCCAGGGCTCTCCGTGTCGGCCCCCCCACTCCGCTCCTGCTCACTTTGCCCAGCCAAGCCCGTTCCCGCCTCAGGACTTTGAACATGCCAGCTCCTTTCCTCTGAATGCCCTCCTGACCCTTGACCCCGGGCCCTCGGCTGCCTGTGGCTTTGGATATCCGGTCACCCCAGTCTCTGCTTAAAGGTCGAGTGAGGGCCACTTGCCCCTCCGGTCCCTGTCATCACATGGCGTTTAGCACCACCTGATGCTCTTGCAAGTGTTTCTGTGCATGTTTGCCACAGCCTGTCGTCCACACTCGAATGGGGCAGGGGTCCCCAGTGCCTAACTGTGGGCTCTGCACTGTGACGCAGAGTCTCGGATTGTTGACAATCCGCTTGTTGACAAACGCTGCTCTGATAACAGAAGCTGTGCAAGGTGTGGAGCAGGGTGACCCAGACGGACCGCGCCGCTTGCCAGGGCGACAGCCCCTCCGCTGCCCTCCTTTGTTGCCATGTAGGAACGTGGACCCTGTCAGCGGGCTGTTGGAGTCTCCCAGAGAGGCCAGAAAACCACGTCTTCTGGTGAAACTCAGTGACTTTTAAAATATTGACAGCTAATTCCAATCTAAAATATAAAACATTGGCAGGACAGCAAAACCCGGATGCAGGCAGAGGTGTTCAGAGACCAGCCCATTTGTGTGACGTCTGGTTCAAACCGCAGGAGTTAAGCTAGACTGGAAAGGTCATTATTCAATGACAGAGATTGACAAGCACAAAACAGCAGCGGGTGCGCGGCTGCCCCTAACAAAGAAGCGGATTTGGAAAGGAAAGTTCATGGTAGTGCAAAGAGGAAATGATGCCCTTGATGGTGCACCTGCAGGCGGTTCAGCCAGGGCAGGACCACGGCCAGCTGGAGTGGAGACAGCTCAGAGCTCAGGCTCAAAGTCCATGGTGCTGAGCTCACTTGGGAAGCAGGAGCAGGCATACGAGGGAGCTGTTGCCCCAGGTGGGGTGGGGAAAAGCCGGGTTAAGCCAGGTAACAGGGTGATGGGGCCCAGAGAATGTTGCTGGCCAGTGGTGGCTAGGCCAGGCCACATGTCTAAGCCACATCCTGCTCTAGCTTGCTTTTTTTTTTTTTAATTTTTT